AAATATATATATTACGTCAATTTTGTTTTATAAGAATGAAGTATCAAATCATCTTGAATTAATATAAAATTTTGTATATATGAGTTAAGAGTAAAAAACTTTCAATCTAACGGTTGAATTTATAAAATTCACATTTAATATAAAGTTATTGAGCGGTGTAATACTTAGTAAAAGTTACACCGGTGTTATTATAACCTTTCTCTTTTAAAATTATTTTTATAAATTAAATTTTAATATTTTAAATAAATTATTAATTAACTTAATATATTTATTCATCTTGAAATATGACTAAGAGAGGCGCATCGAGGAAGAATGACTAAGGGAGAGCGTTGCATTTTTAAAATATTACAGTACTTTTAAGATCGGTTAAATTTTAACCGATCTTAAAAGTACTTTTAAGATCGGTTCTTCTTTAACCGATCTTAAAAGGTATGTCTGACACAAGTTTTAAGATCGGTTACAAAAGAACCGATCTTAAAACCACTTTTAATATCGGTTCTATTGTAACCGATATTAAAAGTTGTGTTAGACATACCTTTTAAAATCGGCCATAGAAGAACCGATCTTAAAAGTACTTTTAAGGTCGGTTAAAATTTACTTCTAAGATCGGTTAAGATCGGTTCTTTTGTAACCGATATTAAAAGTTGTGTTAGACATACCTTTTAAAATCGGCCATAGAAGAACCGATCTTAAAAGTACTTCTTTGACCAATCTTAAAAGGTATGTCTGACACAAGTTTTAAGATCGGTTACAAAAGAACCGATCTTAAAACCACTTTTAAGATCGGTTCTTTTGTAACCGATATTAAAAGTTGTGTTAGACATACCTTTTAAGATCGGTCATAGAAGAACTAATCTTAAAAGTGTTCACATTATTTACAAAATTGTCACCGCGTCACTTTTAAGATCAGTCACATTTTAACCGATCTTAAAACCCCGATTTTAAAACTAATTTTTGCACTAGTGATATAAGTGGAGAATAAATTCTTATCTTAAAAATCAATTTTTTGAAGTTAAGTTATACTCCAATCCACTTTTTAAAGATGATATAATAGCATATCATAATCTATTTTAATGATTCTTGTTGTTAGACTTATCAAATCACCTACTATAAAATTACTGACATATATCCAGTCCTACAAAGTAACTTCATGTTCAAGATGTTTAATTCTCGGAGTTCAACCCTGAATCACTTTAGTTCACTGAATGATTTTGTAGAAAAGTCAAATAGGTAACATGTATGTTTTTTTTAGCATGATATTGGGATTAGTAATGCTATCCTTAAACATTTATTTTCTTGACCCATATATCAAGTCTCTCTTCATATAGTATTGAAATGGGCGATCAAATTGATATAAATTAATAGTTATATTGATATGAAAGCGGAGCATATCCTTTTTTGGTGTGAGAAGAGGTGCTAATATTGGTATATATGATTAATGTCTTGAGCACTATTTCTTTATGCAGAGGTTCATCCAATCAATGGGTATATGGAAGCAAGATTAACTCATTAAGGAATTTTACAGTTAAATCAACTTATACTTTTTTAACAATATCGTTTGTTATCTAGGAACTCCCATTTTGCTATTTTATTAATTTTTTTGAAAGAGTTTTGTTCCTCTCAAAGTGTTTACTTATCCGGGAGGGTTGTTTTGGATAGGTTGTTGACTCATGTTATATAAATAGAAATTTAATCATTAATTATATCTACTTTTTAGCATTATCTTGAGAAGGAAAAGAATGTATTCCATTCATAATCTTATTTGGCACATTGTAATATGATTTATTTGAATTATGCATAACAATATAATGTTTAGAGTGTTCCTTTGGACTTCAATATTGATACTTTAGATTATTAAAGATTAGATTGTGAACATGCTTTAAGGCTAAGATGTGTAGTGCTTAATACTTATTTTCTATTTATCATGTAGCTTGTCTTAATTTTCCCCTTTGAATTGGCCTTGAGGAACTTAGGTTTATGGATTTGTACTCTATTTCTCAATAATATTTTGCTTAAATATTATATAAAAAAAAATGGTACCCTGACTTGGTTGATGTGTGGTTACCTACATCAAAACTTGGCTATCTAAGCCTTAAGACCAGCATGGCTAGACCTAGCATTTTGGCTATCAAATTTTATTAAAATTGAACAATAACTTGAAGGTAATCAAAGTGTTCATATTTTAGTATATTTTGAAATGTATATATTACATCAATTTTGTTTTATAAGAATGAAATATCAAATCATTTTGGATTAATATAAAATTTTGTATATATAATCTAACAGTAAAAAAACTCTTAATCTAACAGTTAAATTTACAAAATTTATATTTAATATAAAGTTATTGAGCGGTATAATACTTATTAAAAGTTAATATCAATATTATTATAACCCTCCTCATATATATATATATATATATACTTGTCAATTATGGTACGTATGTATTATGATACGTATCTAAGCGTAGGCAAAATGTAGTATGTATGTTAATTGTATTTCAGATACGACAAATTATGGTTTGTTGAAGTATATATCTATGTATGAGCATCAGTCCGTCAAAAGCATGATCGTAGAATCATAGTTTCCTCACATGTCCGAATCGAGTAATTGGCCCCACAAAATAATGAGACAATGCCAACACAACTCGCCATGAATGAATTGAGTTCACTGGATCTGTCTTGAGAAAATTCTAAGCTATCTTCCGTGCGAAGAGTGTCAATTGTTGACGAGTAGTTGTATGAATGTTATTAAATTCAATTTGCTTATGAACTTGTTAACGTGTAACACTACTACAAAATATTATTTTCTTGTAAATTTTTTTATAAAAAATATTTGTAGAAATTTTTTGTTAATTTTTTTGTAATAGTAATTTCACAATTTTTTTTTATGAATTTATTTGCGAAAAATAATTTACATATATTAATTTCTTACAAATTTTTTGATGAAAAATAATCAACAAGAAATTTGTGTAAATTTTGCTATAATTTTAATGATCATAGAAATTTTTTCCATGGAAAAACTTTGCAGAGAATATTGTAAGAATTTTATTTTGTTTCTTGCAAAAATAAATTCGTAAGTAATGTTTACTAAATGGTAGAAAAATTTCACAAGTAAC